TGAACCGCGAGGATATAATAGAACACCTCGTGACAATAAGCGAGATAACGAACACACTGGCGAGAGACATAACCGACGTGACGGATTACTTGACTCACGCGAGACACGGAATAATTTTAACAAGACTGTTGCCGATAGAAGTAATAATTACGGAACTTCGGGAAGCTGCGACATACCTAGGGGCAGGACAGCACTTCCCATTCAAAGTACAAGCCGAAAACTGGCAAACAATCCAGGAATACGTGAAAGTAGCCGCGTACGTAAACATGCCGCACGTATACACCATTTTGAAATTCCCAATTGTAAACTACCCCGTATACGAGGTAATAAAGACGACCCCACTTCCCGCCCACGAGCGAGACAATTTATTCACATTCGTAAAAACGTCCGGAGATTTAATGGCGATAGATAGGGAAAATCACAATTACTTAATAATCAGAGAGCGAGAACTAGAGACGTGCACGCGAACGGGAGAAAATTATGTATGCAATCAAGCATTTCCGATATACCATGTAAGCGGAGACGCACCATGCGAGGTGCAAACCTATGTACAGGCCCCGGGCCACCTAAGCGCGTGCGAAAAACGACACCTGACTAGCAACCGAACCATTTGGATAGCGGTAGAAGAAAAACACACTTGGCTATACTCCACGCGAGGAGAGCAACGAATCAGCGTCCAATGTAACGGACAGCCAGAAATCGAAGTCATCATAAACAACACAGGTAAAGTCACTTTACAAGATAAGTGTAAGCTAAACACGCCCGACGTAATTCTGAAAACGAAAACACGAATAGGAAATAAAGTAGTACAGACACACCTACCGGGATATAATTTAACGAAAAACACGGTCAACCCCCTGGCCGAAGGAAAGCAGCTAAACTTACAAAGTAACCTAAAGTTAAAACCCGTAATAACGAACCCGAAGGAATTAATAGAACTAAGCCTAAGCACACGGGAACTCGAAAAAGAATTGGAAAACGGAACAAGCGAACACATATTTGTGAACAGATACGTCGCGTACTCGCTCAGCGCGGGCATAGCAATAATTATAATTAGCTTAATAGGCATAAGCGCATGGATAATATACCGTAGAACGAAAAAACAACCGAATACACCAAACTATGTTAACCGCGAACCCGCGATGATGTACTAAGCATAAAGTGTAAAGAAATATTGTAAGGAACAAGGAAAAGGGAGAGGGTAAACCCATGAGCGGAAAACTTCATCCCTCAGCTTTCCTTCTTCCAAAGGGGGAGGGATGTTGTGCCCCGATTGCCGAAAGAGGTAACGAGGGCACTCAAGCAGTATTACTGCAATTACAATAACACTAGCGTAAGCACATTGCGCGATCGAGCCACAAAAGCCCGACCGCGCAACCTAATTAAATTCGGAGAAGAAGTCAGCAAGTTCTCGACCCGATTACGCATAGCCTCGATCGAGTACCGAGAAACCTCGATCGAGTACCGAGAACGCTGACGCTTCGATCATCGGGTTTAAAACCGGAGGAAAGCCCGAGATCGGGGCACTTGTCAATCACGCGTCATTCGATACTATACGTTTACGCGATAAGCATTTGTCCGTCAGGCCTTCGGCCTGCCGTAAACCATCAGTGTAACACTCAGTTGAATAAAGCTACATAGTGATAGTTAAACGGCGCCTTTTTGGAGTGACCTCCGACCAGCCACATCCCATCAAAGAACCCTTCGGTTCTCGTCAGAGAACACCTCCGGAGCGAGCAAGAAGGAACATACACCGCGCACGGAGCGGCGCGGCAACACTTTCTCAGAAGCTCAATTTCAAGTTGTTCTTTTTGCAGTTGTGTATTTAAAATTTTTAATTCTATTTCAGATTTTGCGCGCAGATCCTCCTTCATTAGCTCGACTAATTCGGTTTTAGATTGAGCTAAATCATAAAAACATTGGTTGCGTCTTACAGCGTTTATTACAGGAGTTTTCGTTTGTCTTCCCCGTTTTAAAATTTTCTTTTTTACGATCGAACTTGCAACGTTTGTTGCATCTCGATTGTCCTTCGATGAGGTTCCTAAAATTGTTTCTACTTCAGCAAATGTAAGGTCCGAATTTGGAACTTCTTTATCGTCGCATACTGGAACTTGTAATTCAGTACTCTTCTTCGAATGTAGCATTGCCGGGGTCCAATCAGCCCAATTCGATGTTAAACCTGCTTCATCGAGTGCCTGTGTTTAAACATTGTAATTAGTATTGTGTAATAATACATTTGGAATATTGACCAACAATTTTCGATGTTGGTAAGGCAATATACTTTTTCAAGAAGAAAAGAGTTACGCTTGGTCAAAACGCACGAAATATCGGTCTACTGACACCAATAAGCATCCTCGGCAGTATAGCAGTTCTTAAGGGATGTGGAACATCCCCACCACTAGACCAGTGTAGCTGTTTTGAGGGCTACACTAGTCTAGTAGTGGGGGGAGTTCCATGTCCCTCAGAACAGCTACACCCCAGTGAGAAGTGATTCGTCGATCGATGTCGAAACGATGTCGAATCGACGTCAATTTGACGGTATCGATGTCGATTCGACATCGTTTCGACATCGATCGATGAATCATTTCTCACTGGGACTGGGGCACGATTCTCGAAATCATTCGAAGAAGAAACGTATACGAATATTCTGCTCTGACAGAAAAGTTGAAAGCCGATTGGTTAAAGCCATGCGAATAGCCAATCAACTTGCAACTTTTCTGTAAGAGCAGAATTTTCGCATACGTTTCTCCATCGAATAAATTCAAGAATCGAGCCCCTGATCATCAGCAAGCGAGTACGCAGAATAGCACTCATCAAGATAAGAATATAGAAACAATTTTCAATGTACATACTTCAATATCCATAAATACATCATCGTTTGTATCCTGACCCTCATTTACGTCATCTACGTCTATAAAAATAAGTTTACAATTATTTCACATTTTTGAGATTATTGTTCCATTTAGAAAAATAGATGAGGCACTTCCCAGTCAGAAATGATTCGTCGATCGACGTCGAAATGATGTCGAATCGACGCCAATTCGACGGTGTCGATGTCGATTCGACGTCGTTTCGACGTCGATCGACGAATCATTTCTCACTGGGTTATATCCCTAACAGCAATTATTTCACAATACATTCTGTACTTTCATAAGATGTGCTAAGGATATCTTAATATATATACATACTGGAAACATTCATATAATATCTTATACTTTACAATATCCTACAAATTCTTTCAATCGTAGGATCTACATGGCATTTGCTGTGTGGGATACAATATGTATACAATCTATGAATAATTATTTCAAAGCAAATAAAATATATATCTGCTACATAATCACTATCGAACGGATTCCGTAAACCATCGACCGACGGTTCAATAACATTTTTTACTTTTTCAGCTATCGGGTGATCAGGGATAGTCATCTTTCCGCCGCCTATACGTCAATTATTAATTAATAATTCTATACAATATGCTTATATGCTTATAATAAATATGCTTACCCAATCAGCAGACAACATTTATTAAATGTTTTTAAACGTTTTTTTTCATTAATTTTACATTTGCAGATTTTCATTGCGAAAAAACGATTATTAAACATTTAAAAAACGTTTATTTTACATTTAAAATTAATATGTTGAGTGAATGGTTTAAAAATGTTTTTTTATATTTATTTTACATTTATTTCATGTTGATTAGTCATTTGCAACTGTATATGTAAAAAAGATTTTTTTTATATTTGTTTTTCATTTATTTTAAATTGATTTCACATTTATTTTACATTTACTATAGTAATAATAAAAAACGTTAATATATATAAATAAACAGTTTTTCACATTTATAGTGAAATATTCGTTGTACAATACAACCATAGAAAACAATAAACATTGACAATGTAAAGTAAATATTAAATAAATATGAATGAAATGTAAAATATGATTTCAAAAAGTTATATTTACTCTCTCTCTCTCTCTCTCCCCCTCCCCCTCTCTAAATATCGATTGTATGATTATCTCGTCCGGTTTCAATTTCAACAATATCCAAAATCGTACTTTAAGATATATTATACGTATGTATATACGTGTACTGTAAGCGCGCTGCTTTGACCAGCGATATATTTGATTCTGAGCTCGCTCAGTCGTCGTGCGAGGCGTCGCGCCGTTTAATTGTCGCGCCCGTTGCCGCGCTGGTTGTTGGAGCCGCCGGATTGGCTACCTGTTGGCAAGGCTCAGCGCTCGTACGTTATTGGTTTTTCCCCTCATGCCTATCCGGGATTGGCCGCTTGAGTTATTCCGCTGTAACAGTCACGATCATCGGCGTGCACGATCCGACGTGCACGGTGCACGTTAATCGTAAGGCTATTCGGCAAAAGGTGACCGTGACGAGAGTACGACCAAGTGCCGGAGGAAGAAGAAGACCGTGACGAGAACCGTGCATGGATGTCCTTCGTTTCTTCAAAAAGGTAAGATTTCTAAAGTTCGCGAATGTTCGCGGGAAATATATATATTGATGTATGTCCGATTATAATACCGGCAATATTATTAATTAACCTCATTTTTTCGCGCATTTTATGATTTCATCGAATTTAAGAAAAATTATTATTTGGAATTATTGTATAGACC